CCCCTCCCACCGTTGCCTGCCCCTCCCTGCCTTCCCTGTGTCGAGGGGCGGCAACGCGCCGCTCCTCACTCCTCCTCGTTTCCCCCGACGACTGCTCCCCTGCAGACTCTCCACATGGACATGTGGGGCCCAGCCCGCGTCCGTGGACAGGGCCGCGAGCAATAATTTCAGCTGGTTGATGACGACTATTCGCGTTACACCACAGTTTTCCACTTGCGCAGCAAGGGGGAGGTCCCTGATGTTTTGATCCCTTGGATCCGCGCTGTCCGTCTCCAGCTCCGCGAGTGGTTCGACACGGACCTTCCTGTCCTGGGTCTGCACTCTGATAGAGGTGGTGAGTTTGCCGACACGGACCTCGGCGAAGGACGCCGACTCCTCTGCTGGCGGCAAGGCGCGGGACGACAAGACGGCGTCGTGCTCGCTTGTCGGCGTCGTGGAGCCGACCGTCTCGCTGGCGCCGGAGGCCGGAGAGGACTTCCAGGCGGTGGCGGCAGCTGTGCAGGCAAACCCGGCGGTGGTCCTGCTCGACAGCGGCTGCTCCCACCACCTGATGGGGACAAAGGAAGTATTCGTCGACCTGCAGCCGAGCGGCTCCATCAAGCCTGTGCGCGGCTTCAATGGGGCGCTGTAAGACGTCCAGGGCCACGGCACCGTCGCCCTGCAAGGGGAGGCCGGGAAGCAGGTGCTCATCCCCGATGTGCTGTACGTCCTGGGTGTGCAAGCCAACCTGCTGTCGTCCGGCCAGCTGAAGGAGCACGGCGTGAAGCTGCAGGAGGACGGCGACGGGATGCTGCTCGTCTCGGCAGCGGGAGAAGTGCTCGGTCGGGCGATGTACTCCAGGAGTGTCCTCTGCACCGACCTGCGTCCCTGCTCAACGAGGTCGACGTCGCCCAGGCCGGAGGTTGTGGCCCTGCGGGCGATCATCTCGACGACGAAGTCGACGCCGGACAGGATGCATGCAAGGCTTGCGCACGTCGGCATGGAAACCATACGGAGCTCGGCAAAGCGCGAGGTCGCCACTGGGCTGGACCTCAAGTCGGCAACGGGCGCCGACTCACCGTGTGTCTCGTGCGTTAGCGGGAAGTTGGCGCGGCACACCTTCCCCGACCAAGGCTCCGACGCCGACGACGTGCTGGCCGTCGTGGCAGTTGAGCAAGCAAGATTTAATTGCTCTCTCCTCTGCTGAAGCAGAATACATAGCACTATGCTCAATACATAGCACTATGCTCAGCCGCCAAGGAAGGACAGTGTCTTCACGAACTACTAGAAGAAGCAAAGCTGGCCCAATTACACAACTTCTCCCTCTTCTGCGACAACCAATCTGCAATTCGCATAGCGAACAAGAGTGGGTTCGCAAACCGAACGAAACACATTGCCCTGCGCTATTTCTTCGTGAAGGACGAAATCGAGAAATGGAGACTCGAGCTATCCTACTGTCCCACGTCCAAGATGGCAGCAGATTACTTGACCAAGAAACTTGGAAAGCAGAAGTTCGAGTACTGCATGCTGCTGACTGGACAAGACCACGTTACCAGCAACGAAGGCGATGACACTCCAGAAGCGAAGGGGAGTGTTGAAAACATATAGTTCGCGCTTCTGATGTGTCGAGTACTACAACGCGAGCGAAGCAAATTACAGCGAAGCAACAAGCGAGTCAACCAAAGTGGCTGACAGAAAGACAACAGCAAGAGGTTGAGTAAAGGTCAAAGGTCAGCGACCTTTGACTCGCCGAAAACAGCGCGACAGCAAGGACACATAAATGACTCGCTATTGAGCAGTTACCCGAGTCGTCGCTGTATCGAACCGCAACAGCAGTTACAGTTAGTTAAACCTTTCATATTCCTTCGTAATCATATAAAGCTTTGTATCTCTTTGCTATTATCAACTTATCTTGTTCTCGCGTACCAGTGCAAGGTGGTTCAACCAGTTCACTAAGATGCTTCCGCTATTGCATCATTACTACGAGCTTTAGTCTTGAAAACGATCCTAAGGGTTTTTCTCAGCCCAACAAATACCAAGCGGGTTCCCGTGTTTAAGGTTGGTCCTTCCCGAAATGTGTCCTGGTTTTCCTAAAGATTTTATGTTTCTAGCCCAGAAAAAAAATCCCTGTGCGAAAATGGACACGTGTCAAAAAAATTGCCCTAAAGGACCAGTTTTGAAAGTAATGTGGATGTCGCATGAAAGAAATCCTAGAAAATCACACCTTCTAAGTACAGTTGGGACTAAATTTGAGAGATTTTTTAAACTAAGGAGCTGGCCGGAACTTTCCCAAAAAGTTTCACACCCAGTAGAAGTTTTGTACAAACGAGAATTGCGAGGATTAGGGCAGTGCCCTTTGAAATCTATTTCAGAACACAGTTCGATCTTTTGGCTGGCAATTTCTTTGGCGAATGTCGCATGGAGCGTATACAGAAGTCGCAGAAGTCTGACCTCCTCAATGAAAACCGTGGACAACATGACTGTGGTCGAGTCTGTAGATGAACGTGCGATCGAAAGGTTTTACAAACGTGAACGCTTTCATCCAAATCTGCCTCAATCACGCTACCAGGTAACCAATCCAGCGAATGCGAGACTCGGGTTCTGCAATGTAGGGTCGAATATCAGAATGCCGTTGAAGTGATGGGGTTCGAATCTAACAATTTGAGAAAGCCGAGTACAGTCGACCAAGGTTCACGAGAGAATTGCTCCAGGGCCTTGTTTGGTAATTCGCTCTTGCCCACGTGTCCCCGACTTGCTCGCGTGGCCATCGAATTCAGTGATAATTGCTCGAGTGGCCACGCCAGGGGATTTTCGAGGTGTTTTTTTTCCCAGGCACACTAACCTACAAGGAATTTAGCCCCGAAAGTCCTCTCACGTACTCGTCTCATCCCGCGCAAGCGTTGCGTACTATTCTCCACTCGAAAATTTCGCAATTTCTAATATGCCCCGCGCATAAAACGGACCAATCATATCTAGACATTACGTGATTAGTTCGTTATATGCGCGGGGCATATTTAGACACTGCGCGTCCAATCATATGCGTCATATAAAGTCCCGATCATAAATTTCGGATAAATGAAACCGCGCAATTACCCATATGATCGCGGATTTATATGCTCGAGCGCTTATTGGTTACGAATTCGTTTGACCGAGCGCTCATTGGTCGAGCATTGGGCCGAAATTGAGCGCGCATGTACTGCTGGTCGTGATTATTTGTCGGTTTCCTATACAGTGAGTGGGCCACGTTCGCGCCCGCCCACCCTGGCGAAATTTTCGAGTGGGGAATATTACGCAACGCTTGCGCGGGATGAGACGAGTACGTGAGAGGACTTTCAGGGCTAAATTTCATGTAGGGTAATGTGCCGGGGAAAAAAACACCTCAAAAATCCCCTGGCGTGGCCACTCGAGCAATTATCACTGAATTCGATGGCCACGCGAGAAATTCGGGGACACGTAAGCAAGAGCGAATCACCAAACAAGGCCCTGGAGCAATTCTCTCAAGGTTCACATACGAAATTCGACTAAGAAATCTCAACACGAGTCGAACCAGTCCTCGTTCTCATCGTCAACAACAACAGTCGCCGTGAGAAGTGGAAGCACCCTTGATCCGTGACATGCGCCTCGCTCGTCCTCATGAGTGAAAGGGCCATGTCGCCTTGTTTCAGGGCGCGGCGCCTTGCAACGCGGCGCCCTGCGGCGCCTTGCGCGCTGGCACCGGTGTGCAGCGGGTCCAGCACGGTGGCGACTTGCGCTCTGAGCCTTGCCGCAGCGCACTGCGCCTAGGGGTACTGTTGCGCCTGCGAAGCGCGCTGTGCTTACTTTTGGCGCCTCGGAGCACTGGTGCCTTGGCTGGATCCTTTTGAAGGAGAGAAGGCGTGAAGTTCGCGCTATTATCTCCCACGGCGCTATCTCCCACGGCGCTAACGCGCTGACGCCTTTCCCGTCGGTGCGTCAAGGAAGGCGGTGCCTGCCAGCTAATAGCAATCCCTTTCTTCCTGCGGTCGTCTCCCTCTTAATCCGTCGCTCTTAATAATTCTCATCCTTTTTTTTTTCCTCTCTCCGTCCCCTCTACCAACCTGTGATGTAGATCTAAACACAAGTCCTTTCTCTTTCACCTGATCCCTGAGCTAGGTGGCTGAGAATGTGAGTGAGCAAGAGAGGGTGACGAGGGAGGGATGTGAGAACGAGAGAGAGTAATGGGGAACGAGAGACGGTGTGATTGAGAGAGTGTGTTTGTGTGAGAGTGCCACTCTTTTTGTATGTGAGCAAGTGCATTAGAGAGTGTTTGTGCAAGAGTGAGTCACATCCTGTATTATGTGCCCAATCCAGAATTGTCAGCTGAAAATATATTTCACCTCTTTTTGACTATTACGTTTCTTGGCTGAAGTAATATCCCCGTTTCCTGCACCCGCGAACATCCTGCACCCTCCTTCAGTCGCTCTTCAATCACCCATTCTTAGTTCCGCACCGCCTTAGAGATGATTGACACAGTGCAGGAGTGATTAATCTCCTCGTCCCTCGTTCCTTCTCCGTGGTACAGATTTTCTTTTACCTGAGGAGGGAATAGGAGTAACATGGCTCGGTCACTCGTCAGCGTCCTCTTGCTGGGATTCAGCACCTTGCTCCTCCTCCTGACACGTAAGCCCCTCCTCCTCCTCTTCTCCTCTCCTCCTCTTCCTCATCTCTCTCTACCCTTTGCGGATGCCTGCTTGCCCTCCCTCTCTCTTGCTTCTCTCCACTTCCCAGCTTCCCACTTTCACTTCTTCACAGCCTTACTAACTTCTCCTTTTCGATTCTCTCTCGTAACACGCCTCTTGAGGTGCCTTTTGAGTCGATAGTCAACTCGCTTTCACTTCTTCACAGCCTTAATTACTTTTCCTCCCTTACTATTCCCTCTTGAGACGCCTCATACCAACTTCTCTTCTCTTATATTTCCTCATTTCCCTTACTCCCCTCCCTTCTGCCCATTCCCACCACCCCTCCGCATCATTCTGCCACCTCTCCGCTCCCTGCATTTGCAGCGGCCTGGCTGCAGCAAGTAGAGGTAAGTCGTTCCATCCTATCCTACTCGCCTTCATTGCTGCGTTAAACGGCTAGGCTGTTGCGAGGCTGGAATTCACCATCGACAGGTTTTCAAATTACTCCGGAGTGCCTTTGCTCATAAGTTCGCTGCTGCTAGTTCATTTACGAGCCGAAAACCATCACTGACAAGCCTACCTGTTCGTCTGAGAGGAGGCAACTTTGAAAAGCTCACCTTTCATGTGGTAGTGTCATCGATACGTTCGAGCGTAAACTTCAATTGATTTCGGTGTTTGTCGTTATTGTTGTTTTTCCTTCTTTTTCACTCTTATTTCGCCTCACTTCCTTCCATCCACCACCAGTTTGCCAGTGCCCCGTCTCATGGTGGAGAGGAAGGATACCACATGTGGTTCTGAGCGTTCTTTTCCAATATCTTTTCCTTCTCTTTTCCGTTAACCCACCAGGCCGCCACGCACATCACGTGGGATCTCGACAGGGCGAAATCGACCGATTTTTGAGGCGCCTCAAAAGCCATCTCTCTTCCGTCTCCCTTCCGTCTCCCTTCCGTCTCCCTTCCGTCTCCCTTCCGTCTCCCTTCCCTCTCCCTTCTTTCTCTCTTCCGTCTCCCTTCCATCTCCCTTCCATCTCTCTTCCGTCTCTCTTCCCATCTCCCTTCCATCTCCCTTCCATCTCCCTTCCATCTCCCTTCCGTCTCCCTTCCGTCTCCCTTCCGTCTCCCTTCCGTCTCCCTTCCGTCTCCCTTCCGTCTCCCTTCCCTCTCCCTTCCGTCTCCCTTCCGTCTCCCTTCCGTCTCCCTTCCGTCTCCCTTCCGTCTCCCTTCCGTCTCCCTTCCGTCTCCCGTCCGTCTCCTTCCGTCTTCCTTCCGTCTCCCTTCCGTCACCCTTCCGTCTCTCTTCCCTCCCTCTGCCCTCCCTCTCCCCTCCCTCTCCCCTCCCTCTTCTCTCCCTCTTCCCTCCCTCTTCCCTCCCTCTTCCCTCTCTATTCCCTCTCTCTTCCCTCTCTCTTCCCTCTCTCTTCCCTCTCTCTTCCCCCTCTCTTCCCCTCTCTTCCCCCTCTCTTCCCCCTCTCTTCCCCCTCTCTTCCCCTCTCTCTCCCCTCTCTCCCCCCTCTCTCCCCCCTCTCTCCCCTCTCTCTCCCCTCTCTCTCCCCTCTCTCTCCCCTCTCTCTCCTCTCTCTCTCCCATCTCTCTCCACTCTCTCTCCCCTCTCTCTCTCTCCCGTCTCTCTCCACTCTCTTTCCCCTCTCTCTCCCGTCTCTCTCCACTCTCTCTCCCCTCTCTCTCTCTCGTCTCTCTCCCCTCTCTCTCCCGTCTCTCTCCACTCTCTCTCCCCTCTCTCCCGTCTCTCTCCACGCTCTCTCCCCTCTCTCCCATCTCTCTCCGCTCTCTCTCTCCCGTCTCTCTCCACTCTCTCTCCCCTCTCTCCCATCTCTCTCCACTCTCTCTCTCCCGTCTCTCTCCACTCTTTCTTCCCTCTCTCTCTCGTCTCTCTCCCGTCTCTCTCCCCTCTCTCTCCCGTCTCTCTCCACTCTCTCTTCCCTCTGTCTCTTCCGTCTCTCTCCCCTCTCTCTCCCCTCTCTCTCCCCTCTCTCTCCCCTCTCTCTCCTGTCTCTCTCCACTCTCTCTCCCCTCTCTCTCTCCCGTCTCTCTCCACTCTCTCTCCCCTCTCTCTCCCGTCTCTCTCGACTCTCTCTCTCCCGTCTCTCTCCACTCTCTCTTCCCTCTCTCTCTCGTCTCTCTCCCATCTCTCTCCACTCTCTCTTCCCTCTCTCTTCCATCTCCCTTGGGCTGTCAACCCACCAGGCTCACAGGCACGTCATCATGTGGGGTTTGAACAAGACAAATCGCATGCAGGATCCGCAGATTGCTGTTGGCGACAAACTAGGTGTGTGCGTGCGCGCGCGCGCGCGCGCGTGTGTGTGACAGCCTTGTTGTCTTGCCTCTCCCATCACATAGTCGATTAAAAAATCACATCAAACCAGGTGCGTCGTCATAGGCATGTTTCCTTGCCTGTTCGTAGCAGGACCAAAGCTTGGAAAAAGATGCCAATCTGCCCCGACTACAGTAGGGCTCTAAGATTGAGATTTCTGACCAAGGTAGACATGCGGTAAGTATCCCCACAATTTTTTCATAGACATCTTTTTCATCGCCAGTTTTGATGTTGTGACGGGCTTTTTTGTCACATGCGTCTTCTCATGAGAGCTTCACTGACGGTGCCTGTGGGTGGGTCTGGTTGTGGGCCTGCCTGTGGGTGGGTCTGCCTGTGGGCCTGCTTGTGGGTGGGTCTGCCTGTGGGCCTGCTTGTGGGTGGGTCTGCCTGTAGGCCATAATGCTTCTTGTGGCCCATGAAACCATTCTTGTTGATATCCTTCCTTCCTTGAACCCTGCAATTCCTAATTCCCGATTCCCATAATGCAAGAGCTACAGTGCTCTTTCCCATTCCATCTGTCCTTTCCCACCCATCTCGGTCTCGCAGTGTTCAAGTGGGCGGACCTGGCATGGCATGACCTGTGAAATGTGTCTACTCACCTCCACTAGTACCATTTGCCATGTGTTATTTCCCACTCACCGTTTCGCAGTGTTCAAGTGGGCGGACTTCGTTTGGCATGACCTGTGGATAATGGACAACAAGAAGGCTTTCGGTCGCTGTGACTTCATGCAGGCGAAGCGCCTTCGACCCCCCGCTATTGGCGGGAAGTACATGTGAGTCTGGGCAGTACATGTGTTTCTGGGCGGTACAGGTAGATTGAAGCATTTTGGGTAGGTATTGCAGTACAGGTAACGAACACTGGATTTTAGATGATTATGTCAATGCCCTCCTTGCCTACTTGCATGCCTCGTGAGCTGTATTACCAGAGGACAAGAGAGCAAACCAGCTACGCCTACTAGGACAATCGACCCCCATGCAAAGAGATTTAGAGAAATCTAAAAAAAAAAACATTGATGAGAATCGACCCCCATGCATTCAACGCATCCTCCCCCTTCCCCCCATGGTTGCTTGCAGATTTAAGGTCCCTCGATATGGTAACTTCTATTTTGCCTCGAGTGGCACTTTCCAGTGTAGCAGGTTCAATGTGAAGTTCTCGCTTGCAATGGAAGTCCCCCAGTAAAAGGAAGACAGTGTAAATATCTGTTGCTAAAAGGCTAGAGTTGGTGTATTGATTTGCGGGCCCTGTTGTATAAAAGGAAGGCAGCGTAAATATCTATTGCGTAAATATAGAGTTGTCAAACTATGTATGATTTATAATTAGGTGTAGGCTTTAGTGGGGTAGCCAGTGTAGGGTACAACCCCTTAGGGTTCTCATCCTTGTACCCAACTCGCTCAATAGTCAAACATTCCTAGCTACCTACTCTAACATGGTATTAAGAGCAATAGGTCCTTAGGACCTTAGGAGCGTTTTTTTTTCGGGCCCACCACCTACCACTTGCGGTTACCGAGCTACCCCACGCCCTGCACTGCCCTAGCCCCGCGCACGTCCCGCTAGCAGCCTGTGCGGCCCGCGCGTCGCCCGTTAATAGCCCGCGCGACCCGCTAGTCGCCTCTGCTGGCCTGCGCGCTGCCCGCTAGTAGCCCGCGCGACCCGCCCGCCGTCCGCGCAGCCCGCGCGCAGCTCCTGCCGACCCGCGCGCCACCTGCCAGCAGCCCCGTAGGCCCTGTAGCCCCGTGCGCCGCCTGCTCCTGCCGCGGCTGCCTGCTACGCCCCGCGCGCCGCTTGTCGCGCTGCCCCGCAGCCCCGAGCGCCGCCCGCCCTGCTGCTCTGCCGGCCGCTAGTCGCCCCTTGCGCCGCCTGCCCTGCTGCCGCGGCTGCCTGCTGCAGCTAGGCGCCGCCCGCCCTGCTACTGCAGCCGCCCATTAGGCCCTGCGTACGGCCCGCCCTACTGCCCTGCCGGCCGCCTGTAGCCCCATGCGCTGCCTGAACTCCTAGCGCGCTGCTGCACCAGAGTTGCTGCTGCTGCTACTACTTGCTGCAGCTGCTCCCTTTTGCTGCTGCTGCTCCTACTTGCTGCAGCTGCTCCTCCTTGCTGCTGCTACTGCTACTTGCTGCAGCTGCTCCTGCCGGCCTCCTGCAGCCCCGTGCGCCGCCTGCCCTGCTGCCGTGGCTGCTTGCTGCGCCCACCCGCCGCCCGCACTACTGCTGCAGCCACTGCTACGCTTTTGCAGCCGCGCTGCACTGCCCGAGCCGCGCTGCACTGCCTGAGCCGAGCTGCGCTGCCTAGTTGCTTGGCAGACCGGTTTCTATTGCTGCACTGCTGCCTCTACTATTGCTGCTGCTAGTGCTACTGCTGCTGCTACTGCTGCTTGCCTGCAATCGCTCTGCCCTGCTAGTCCTGCGCCAGCAGCTATGGCCACCCTCCGAGTTCTGTCGTTCGATACTGAGGGCCGCCCGATTCAGTTCGAAACCTGGCTAGATGATCTGCAGCTGTTCCTAATGAGCGATAGCAAGGACAATGTCTCACTCTATGACCACACGTCTGGTGCCTCAGTCGCTCCCGCTGCCACCGCTGAGCTTAGCGCCCATTCCCAGTGGCAGACCCGTGATGCTGCTGCGCGCCTAGCCGTTCGTAATCACCTTCCGTTAGCCGAGCTCACGCATTTTGGCGAGTACAAAACTGCTAAGACCCTGTACGACGCTGTATTTGCTCAATACTCCTCCCCTGCCACAGCTGAGCTTAGCCGCCTCATGCTGCCCTACCTGTTTCCTGCGCTGTCAACCTTTGCCACAGTTGCCGATCTCATTACCCACCTTCGCACTAGCGACACTCGCCTTCGAGCCGCCCTCCCCAAAGAGTTCTGTGCTAAGCACCCGCCTCCGATGTACTGGACCCTCCACTTCATAGTCACCCGTCTCCCTGACTCTCTTAGCTCGGTCAGGGACCACTTTCTCGCTCGCTGTCCCACCGACCTCACTGTCGACCTCCTAGAGGAGCACCACCTTGCAGCAGAGAAGAGCATTGTCGCTGTAGGTGCTGCTCGTGGCGCTCCTCGCACCCCCATCTTTGAGGGGTGCTCTCCCTCTCCCCTTGCCCCCTCCTACGCTACTGCCGCTGCTGTTGACTACCTTGGTGCTGAGTCTGTTGGTGCTGCTTTTGCTCCTAGTGGGAGGCGCCGCAGCGGCAAGGGCAAGGGAGCCAAGAGTAGCGGAGGTGGTACCGAGGGGGGGGGGGGGGTGGTGGAGGCGGTGGAGGAGGAGGAGGTGGCGGAGGGGGTGGCAGCGGGAGTGCTGGCGGGAGTGGTAGCGTCGGTAGCGACGGTGGAGGCGGTGGTGGCGGAGGGGGTGGCAGCGGCGGTGGCGGCGGCGGAGGCAGCAACAGTGGCGGCTGGGGCGGTAGTGGCGGTGGGGGTAGCGGTTGGGGTGGAGGCACGGGCGCTGGTCAGAGGCAGCAGCAGCAGCAGAGTCCCCAGACGACCCAGCAGCTTCGTGAGTGGCTTGCTCAGCGTGGAAGGTCTGGGGGTGGTGGTCGCTGCGCGTATGTCATTCGCACAGGTGACCGCAAGGGTCAGACACGCGGGAAGTTCTACACCCAGCACCGCTGCTTCTCTCGCCTTGACGACGCCTGGGGTGAGGAGATGGGCGAAGACTATGAGCGCCCTCGCTGGTATGAGTTGCTTAGGGCAGGTGTAGACATCTTTTCTCTTGACTATGATGCTATTATTACTGCCATGTATGCATTGGAGATTAGTGCTGATGGTGACTGTTACTTGTGTGTGCCGCCTGACCCCAGTATAGAGACTGGTACTCTAGGTGCTGGTGAGGCTGCTGCCTTAGGTGCGAGCGAGTCTGCTCTCTCATGTACTGCGCCAGCTGAGGTCTTGCACACCTTCACGCTTGACTCAGGTGCTTCCCGCTGCTTCTTTCGTGACAGTACTGCACTCACACCACTCCCTGCACCTATTGCAGTCTCTCTGGCTGACCCCTCAGGAGGCCCAGTTCTTGCACGATCCACCACTGTGCTCCCGTGCCTGGAGGTTCCGTCTGGCTCTCTGTCACGTCTCCACCTCCCCTCGTTCTCTATGAACTTGGTGAGCACTGCTGACCTCCAGGATGGTTGACACCTTCACCCCTGGCCGGCAGCGTGTGGCGATCTGTACGTGCTCCCAGACCGGCCGCCACCTGGCCACGTTTACCCGTAGGCCAGGGTCGAGTCTTTACACACTGACGACTGCGCCTCCTCAGGTAGCTGCTACTGGTCAGGTGCCTGCGTTAGGTCAGGTAGCCTCCCCTTGTGAGTGTCGCTCCCTGTCGCACCAGATTCTTCTCTGGCACCACCGCCTGGGTCACCCCTCCTTGCCACGTCTCCGTGGCATGCACCGTCGTCTCCTTATGTCTGGTCTTCCCAGGTCTCTCCCTCCCCTCCCTGCCTCGCCTGCGCCGCCCTGCCTTCCTTGCATCGAGGGGTGGCAGCGCGCCGCTCCTCACTCCTCGTTTCCCCTGACAGAGGCTCCTCTGCAGACCCTCCACCTGGACGTGTGGGGCCCAGCCCGCGTTCGTGGACACGGCGGTGAGCGGTACTTTCTGCTGGTTGTCGACGACTACTCGCGTTACACCACGGTCTTCCCCTTGCGCACCAAGGGTGAGGTCCCTGCTGTCCTGATCCCTTGTATCCGAGCAGTTCGTCTCCAGCTCCACCGCAAGTTCCGCCAAGACCTTCCTGTCCTGCGTCTGCACTCTGACAGAGGTGGTGAGTTCACCTCCGACCTCTTGCGGGCCTTCTGTCAGGGGGAGGGCATCGAGCAGTCGTTCACGCTTCCGGGCTCACCGCAGCAAAATGGGGTTGCTGAGCGCCGCATTGGCTTGGTCATGGAGGTCGCTCGTACCTCCTTGATCCATGCGGCAGCTCCCCATTTTCTGTGGCCGTTTGCGGTCCGATATGCCGCGCAACAGCTCAACCTCTGGCCCCGTGTCTCCTTGCCGGAGACCTCGCCCACACTGCGTTGGACGGGGGAGGTTGGCGATGCGTCGCGTTTCCGGGTCTGGGGTGCTCGTGCCCTTGTCTGCGATACGTCCGCGGACAAGCTCTCCTCCCGCGTCATTCCCTGTGTCTTCCTTGGCTTTGTCCCTAACGCGCCTGGCTGGCAGTTTTACCACCCCAGCTCGCGCCGTGTCCTGCCCTCTCAGGATGTCACCTTTGACGAGTCGGTTCCTTTCTACCGTCTCTTCCCCTACCGCACTGCCCCTCTCCCTCCCCCGCCGCTTTTCATCGCTCCAGGTCCCCCTCCGGTAGACCCCCTCCCCCCTCAGGGTCCTGCTCCTTCAGGTGTGTCTCAGGTAGACCCGCCCCCCTTGGCTGAGCCTGTAGAGGTCACTAGCAACTCAGGTGCTGCTGCGGGAGGTGCTGCTGGGGGTACTGCGTCTGGGGGTGCTGAGCCTGCGCGTGAGGTGCTGGGGAGTGCGGAGCCTGGGGGTGCTGAGCCTGCGGCTGCGGAGCCTGGGGGTGCTGAGCCTGTCCGTGAGGTGCTGGGGGGTGCGGAGCTTGGGGGTACTGCACCTACGAGTGCGGAGCCTGGGGATGCTGAGCCGGGGGGGTGCCGAGTCTGCTGGCGTTCCTCTGGGTCTCGTTTCCCGACCCGGGCCTCTCTCACCACAGTAGGCACGACAGTGGCTTGCGTCGCGTACCCGCCTGAGGAGTCGTGCTGCTGGAGCTGCTTGTCGTGGAGGTGCTGGGGGTGCTGGTGTCTCTGGTCCTGGAGGTGCTCGTACTGG